GGGTTTGAACCACCAGCCCTCTGGTTAGCAGTCAAGTGCCTTAGCCACTATGCTACCAGAGCTCCTAAATAACACATAAAACCCCAAAATAACACTAACATCTAATGTTCACAGACGCAATTCAAAGCTATGGTAGCTTGATGCTGAAATGCTGAGTGTAGTTCCTGGAGAAGGAGCTTGACAACATCACTCTCACTGCTCTGGCCGTGCCTGCCTCTTTAATGGCTCACTGAGAAACAAACTCTGGATGCTAGTTTCATTTTCCATCTTTTTTCCTTAAAGCAAAAATCCTCTTTGGATTTCTTATGATTAGTGAAAACAGGTACTACTGTAAGTCTTTTGTAAAAATGAAGTGGCATATAGCAAACTTTTGAAAAGTAGGGGATACCTGTATATGATATGGAAATCTGGATAACATTTTGACTGAAACACAACACCAAGAGGAAAAAAAAAAAAAAAAACTAGCCAAATCCACGGCCATCCAGTGATTCTAGTGACCCAATAGGACAGAGTAGAACTGGTGTAGGGTTTCCAAAGCTGTTATCTTTTTGGAAGCACAGTGCTTCATCTTTGTCCTGATGAGCAGTTGGTAAGTTCAAACCATGGAACTTTGGTTAGCAGCCAATGCCTTAAGCACTTTGGCACCCATCAAAAATGTTCTGAAGATGAAAGGACCTTCCGAATTTCTTATATCACATCGTATTGGCATTGCCATGGAAACAGGACCAGAAGAGTGTTTATAGAATAACAATTTACACCAAAACACAGTTTCTAGTCTGACCTTGGATTTCTGTTCCTCCACACTGACTGCACACAGATAATTCCGCAAAAGAACCCAGTTTTTACTATTTTATTTAGACCATTGCTTTACTTAAAGGTAACTGTTAGATGTGCATTGTTGAAAGGAACCTGGCTTATATTGAAGAAAATCAAGTTTTTCATTTCACCCGACCAGCAGATGGGTTAGTCTGCTAGAATGGAAAAACCTCAGGTAGGTAGTCAGTTAAGCAATAGCAAAAGACAGCAGTAGCCTAAGAGTAACTTTTAGGAGACCGTGTTCTTCAAGTTTCAAGATTCGAAAAGGCACCTAAGGGTAAATGGCCTGGGTGAGTCACCCCAACTTCTCAAAACAAAAACCAAACTCAGTGCCGTCCAGTCGAGTAAACTCATAACGACCCCTCCTTGGATTTCCGAGACTGCCACCAGAGCTCCTGTATCTCTATGGAAGTAGATTGCACCGTCTTCTTTCCTAGGAGTGGCTGGTTTGAACAGCCAGACTTCTGGTCAGTAATCAAGTGCCTTAGGCACTATGCCAACAGAGCTCCCAGACTCTAGAAATCTGGATTTCAAGAGAATTAAAACCGTTTCTCACTCCATACGAATCTTTAACGGAATGCGGGGACATCAGGAGAAAATAACTTTTATTGCCTTCACGCTCCTCGTAAGGTGCCCAGGGTACAGCATTCACACGTACATTTCCAGCGCCCGCGCTCCGCACGCAGAGAACTACGATTCCCAGAAGGCTTTGGGTCCCGGGGGACGGACCAAAGAGGGACGGAGAGTAAGAGACGGTCGTTGGTTGACTCTATTGTCCAGAGCGGGAGGGCATGCCTGGGCTGAGTTTGGGAGCGTCAGCTTCCAAATAGTGGTAAATACAAAGGCCTACGCCTGCACGCGGTTGGTACGGTCCGCGGGCCCCAGCCGCGGAGCCCCGCGCTCAAATTTCCCCGCCCGGGAGCGCGGGGCGTGCTGGGAAGGCTAGGACGGTTACCTACCAATCTGGAGGTGGAGGCGGTCGGGCTGGTCCTGAGTCCGCTATCGCTCGTGGCCTTAGCCATGCAGAGCACAGACCTGGGCAACAAAGAGAGCGGCAAAATATGGCACCGCAAGCCAACTCCCGCAACTCGGAACGGGTAAAGGCCTTGACGGGAGGGCGTGGGCTGTGCAGTGGGAAGGTGCTGGGGTACACGCAGGAGTGCCCAGTGTCCCCTTTTCCTCACGGAGCTCACCTTCAGGTATTACGGTAACTGTAGTAGAAATGAAAATAAAACTCTTGTGCACCGAATTTCCTTTACAACATTCTGCATCATAAAATCTTAATAAGATAACTTAAAATTGGGGTATCAAGTTTAAGATATTTTACGTAAGAGTTGTTGTTATGTGCCGTCGAGTCAGACCAGGCTCATAGCGACCCCTCCTTGGGTTTCCGAGGCAGTATCACTAGGGAAGTAGATTGCCCCGTCTTCCTTCCGAGGAGTGGCTGGTGGGTTTGAACCGCCAGCTCCTACATCGTCATTAATTTTTACAGATGTCCATTTTTAATATGGGTGGGAGCTCTGGTAGCATAGTGCCTAAGGCACTTGACTGCTAACCAGAAGGCTGGCGGTTCAAACCCACCAGCCACTCCTCAGAAGGAAGGTTGGGCCATCTACTTCCGTGATACACCTGGGAAACCCAAGGAGGGGTCGCTATGAGTTCGATCTGATGGCAGTAGTTTGGTTTGGTGTTTGGTGCTTAATATAACAGTTTATTCAGTCTGCTACGTATTCCCTTATCACACTCTGTTGTTTTCCCTCAGTTATTCACAACTTGTAACTCTTATATATGTGTTTAATGTCTGTCTCTCCCACTAAACTGTCAGCACTGTGAGGGTAAAGACCATATCTGTTTATCGCATTACTCCTGGCTCCTGGCTTGCTCAGTGTCTGACACACGGTGAGTTCTGAACAGCGTTTCAGAAATTGCTGTAAAATTGATTCTAGGGACCAGGAGAAAGAGCAGCAGCGGAGGGAGAGGGATGAATGGGTACAATCGAATCTTCGAAATCAGATTTTTCACAATCGCCGGTAATGTTTGACATATAATTGAATGTCTGTTGTTTTGCTTGGTTTTGTGTTTGGCAGAATTATAGTGAACATCATTCACAGCACTTCTGAGTATCTTCCAAAAGCTTTGCGATTTCTGAATGTGGCTTTTGATAGCTCGGGTGATCGCTTAATTGCTGGGGACCATCAAGGAAATATCTATGTTTTTGACTTGCATACAAACAGGTAAGCAGATGCGTTCAATGTTTATTTATTTATGATTTACTATTTTAGGACACGCTGTTCACTGGTCACTCAGGAAGGCTTATTAAGTTCTTCTGTGTCCCATGCACTGTGCTGCTATGCAAAGTGCTGACTGAAGGAGGAAAATGATAAAAAGACAGTATGTTAGATTTCTCATAGAGTTACAGTGCTGGGTAGCAGTATTGCTAAAGGAACAAATGTGTTTTTTAAAATACATCCATGTAATTTCCTGATTTTTATGGCTGTATTGTGATTATATAGAAGAATTGGTTTGTAGGAAACATATGATGTCAGTAACTTACTCTCATCGTTCAGGAAAAGAGGAGGGGATCCTTCATATAATGTTCATTTTTCTGTGATTTATTAAGTAAGACATCTGTTAGTCATTGTTTCTGCCTTTACCAAAAACATGATGCTCACAATTCTCCTGCTCTTTTTACTCTTGACTCACCTACTTTGCCAATTCCCAATCTTCAGTCAGTACAACTGGCACTTCTTTGGTCCTGTAGCTAGATCAAAGTAATTGTTGGTTGACTCCATTTCCTGACAGGGAACTTCAACATCAGTGATGTTTAGCAATTCACTTGCTTTATCTATTTTTACTTACAATTCAACTAACCTTACCTCTTTCCTACTTCATTCATAAAAGTAGATCATCATGGTTTCTCTGGTTCTAATCCCTGGAACTGGGGTCTTTCATCCCATCTTCTGTGGCTTTCCTTTGCCCTGCAAGTTGTCCTCTTATTTTGCTCGCTGTCCTTTTTCTCTCTGTAAACATTCACAGCTAGTAAATGGCAGAGCTGAGACGACATCAGGCCTGATTCTAAAGCTGGGTTCTTTCAGTTTTCCTAATTGGCCAATCTCATGGTCTCCCTTAAATTCTCATCTTTCTGAAGCTCTGAATGCTCTCGTCTTCCCCTCCTCCATGAAATTTGTTTCTTTCTGTTTCATGTTACAGCTTTTTCCTGGTGTTTCTGCCTTTCTGATCATATTCCAACCCCCAGCCCCAGCTTTGGTGACTCCTCCAGGGTCCGCCCCCTTTAACGTGGCTGCACAGGCGTCTGTCTCTGGCCTGCGTCCCTCCATGTGCCAGGCGTTCTCTTTGATGGTCTTGTCACCATCAGGCCTTGGTTCCGCTGCCACGTGGAAGCTCCGATTTGGTTCTGCTACCCACTAGTCCGCCTTGGGAGAAAAGACCTGGCGGTCTGCTCCCGTGGAGGTTTCAGGCTAGGAAACCTGTACAGCAGCTCTGTCACGTCGGCTCGTCACAAGTTGGAATCGACTCAGTGGCACGCAACAGCTGACCTCAGAGAAGGACACATCTAGGTTTGGCTTTCCTGTACGTATGCTAACCATTAGGCACAGGTGCGTGTTGCATCCTTGGAAAGTGGCTGGCCCAAAGGAAGGTGTGCTGTGAGTGTGAAACATACATGGATTTTGACGATTTAGAAAAAAATGTAAAATATATCAGGATCAGAATCAGTATAATTTTTATATTGGTTACATCTTGAAATGACAATATTTTAGATATTTAAAAGATATTTTTAGAAATGCATGTATTATTAGATAAAATATACTTAAGTAAATAAAATATATTAAAATTAGTTTTTCCTGTTTTTTTACTTTATCAATGTGGGTCCTAAAATTTTTAAATGACATATATGACTTGCATTATATTTTTCTTGGACATTGCTGCTCTTAATGTTTTTCAAAGGCCTTAAACTCAACCTGTTTCAAATCACACCTATTATTTCCTATCCCTAAACTTGGTTTCTCCTTTGTCCAAACTCAAAAGCTTCAACTTTTTTTTTTTTTTTTTTTTTTAATAAATTAAACACTAGCTATGTGCCAGGGAGCTCTGGTGGTGTAGTGCCTAAGGCATGTGACTGATAGCCAGAAGGCTGGTGGTTCAAACCCACCAGCCACTTCTCAGAAGAAAGACTGGGCAATCTACTTCCATAGTGATACCACCTCGGAAACCCAAGGAGGGGTCGCTATGAGTGGGATCTGACTCAATGGCAGTGAGGTCTGTGTGCCAAGAACTGTGCTTAACACATTATTTGTTACTTCATTTAATTATCTCCACAACCTGATAAAATAGCAATTCTTGTCTTTCTTTCACACATAAGGAATTCCAGATTCCTCCGTCTTTACCCCAGATTTAATGAATCAGCAAGTCACTAAGGTTCTGTGATGACTTGAAGAATTGCTGGTCCTAATGCAGTGATCTCTTGATAGGTTTAACCTTGTTCAGCGAACAGCACAAGCTTGCACGGCTCTGGCCTTCAATCTTCGTAGGAGGTCTGAATTCCTTGTGGCATTAGCTGATTATTCTATTAAATGTTTTGATACAGGTAAGAAGTCCTCCTCTTTGTCATTTTGAAGCAAAGAAAAATACTGAAGTGCAAAAATAAAATATACATATTTTAACAGCCTATGTATTTTATACCACATTGTATTTTTTATTAGACTGAACCTATTACATTTATTTTTTTAAAAAAAAGAGATCTCAACTGTATTTTTATTATTAAATTAAGACGTGTTATAAAGTTTAAAAAGATAGATGAGTAGTAATAATAGTGATAGCTAGCACTTACGTAGTGTTTATTCTTTGCCAGGTACTGTTCTTTGACTTTATACCTATTAATTCACTTTAATCATTATAGTAACCCAAGGAGATGGATACTATTATTGTCTCCATTTTACAGGTAAGGAAACTGAGGCACAGAGGTAACTTAATCGAGGTCCCATGACTTGTAAGTGGGAAAACCAGGATTCCGGTTTAGGCAGTCTGGCTGTAGGGTCCTTGCTCTCAATTTTAGTTTTAAAATGTTGTCTTTATACTCATCCTTCCTTGGATTCCTTTCCTTGGATTCCACCCATTCTCTACTGTACATCCTGTTCTTCTTCCCCATATTTCCTTATTGAATTCCTGTCCCAAGAGAGCACCTTCCTGAGATGCAGCCTTGGTCTTCCTAACTCCAGCTGCCCCTTTCTCTCTCCCTTCCCTGCCAAAGCCCACTCTCCCACAGCTTCTGTGCACCTGTTCTGACTCTGGCTCCCCCACGCATGCTGCTGACACTTCCATCCCTGAGGTCAGGAGTAACCTCTGATTGTCTGGATCCTCTTTGTACATTCCACCCTACTTCTCAGGAGCACTGGATGGTACTGGATTACTGTCAGAGTCTCTCTTTACTCTTCATGCTCTTTGTTATTCTGCCTTTCTGTTTCTTAGTAGTAGCTCTCCCAATTCTTTTAGTGGTTCTTAGGCTTTTTGACCCAATTAAAAATAAAAAAAGTGGAGGAACCCACATAAGTTGTCAACTTTTAATTATTCTAATTGACATTGAAAAGAACAATATAATTTTGTTTCATAAAAAAGGGTTTGGTTCTTTAGCAGAAAATTTGGAGGGATATAATGCTAGTTAAAAAAAACAGGAGCTCTGGTGGCATAATAGATAAGGCATTTGGCTGCTAACCAAGAGGTGAACGGTTCAAACCCACCAGCCACTCTACAGAAGGAAGATGGGGCGATCTACTTCTGTAAAGATTTACCACCCCAAAAATACAATATGGGTCCCTATGAGTCAGAATTGACTCGATGGCAGTGAATTTGGTGAATTTACTTTAAATTTAGCTTTATGCAAAACTCATCTCATTGTCCTTATTTTTCTCATTTCACCAAGACCAGTGAAAAGCTGATCATTGACTAAGGCCAGACATTAGACTGCTGCTAGAAACCACTGCTCTCCCTAGGGGATTATCTGTTTTTCTGTTACAGCTTCGACCTACTTTGTATCTTAATGTTTCCCAGATTCATGTCTTGGCTTCTGACTGTTCTCTTCAGTTCTTCTTTCCAGGGGGAAAAAAAATTCTGATCATAAAAGTAATGCATGCCTACTGCAGAAAACTTGATGATATACAGAAAAGTGTAAAGGGAAAATAAAAGTCAATTACAGTTTACTTCCCAGTGATAATTTGAACAGTTTTAATTGTGGTAAATATTTGTGTAACAAAATATCTGCCATTTCAACAGGCTTCACAGGTACAGTTTAGTTCATCATGTTCAAACATCACTATTTTAACTGTCCCCAAATTTATCATGGAAGCTCTGGTGGTATAGTGCCTAAGGCATTTGAATGCTAACCAGAAGGCTGGTAGTTCAAACCCACCAGCCACTCTTTGGAAGGAAGGTTGAGCAGCCTACTTCCATAGTGATACCACTTTGGAAACCCAAGGAGGGGTCACTATGAGTCGGATCCAACTCGATGGCAGTGAGTTAAATTTATCATGAATAATTTTTGGTGTTTTCTTATCAGACTTTTCTCTGCTCATTCATACACACAAACACACACACACACACACAAACCTTAGAATCAGTTTTTTAAAATCTGTTGTCTTCTAACATTTCACAATCAGTTCTTCCTTATGTATTTCTTATATTAGTGAAAGTAGCACCCTGTACTTAACTAGAACCACAGTAATTTTTATTCCTTTATCTCAATACTTCCATCACTAATCCTTTGATTTTTTTTTCCTTCATAGTTCTTGAATTTGTTCCTTTCTCCATAACTTTATTAGTTTAAACCCTCCTTATCTCATGCCTGGATTGTTACAGCAAAATGCAAATTATTCTTTTTGTCCCATCTCTTCCATACTGCCAGTATATCAACCATATGTCCTCCAGTAGTCTTCCTGAAATAGAACTGGAATTGGCATTCTCTACATAAAGCTGTCATCCACAAGAGAAAGCTTCTCTCACACTTAGGCTTGTATCTAAGCCCTTTCAATCAAACCTCATCTCCTGCTGTTTCCCATGATACACATCTACTGCCATCATCCCTGGTTAGCCACAGGCTCCTGTTTCTATAGATGCTAGTGGAGGTGTCTCATGTAATACCTTGCCATTGACTGTATCAATTCATGGATGTTCATTTTTCCCCACAGTTACCAAAGAGCTAGTTAGCTGGATGAGAGGACATGAGTCGTCAGTCTTTTCGATCTCTGTGCACGCCTCAGGGAGATATGCCATCACTACATCTTCTGATACTGCACAACTATGGGACTTGGATACCTTTCAGAGAAAAAGAAAGCTGAATATTCGCCAGTCTGTGGGTATACAAAAGGTCAGTGAGAAGGAACATCTTGGCCCACTGTGATTCTCAAGCTGTTTTCTTGGTCAGAAGCATTTAGAGGTGATACAAAAATATTTATTCACTTTCCCCAACATCGCTGTGTTCTTGGAACTCATGAACAAGCAAAGCAAAATGACCAACAGAATTAAAGATGCTGCCTGTTGCTGTAACTTAGAACTTTCTGAGCTTTTTCAAAAGTTATTATGTTTAATTTTTTATTGTGATTTGGATGCAGATTTACAAAGCAGATTCATTTCACTCTCAACAGTTCATGCACGTTTGACTTCACGGCCCCAGTTACGATCTCCAGCCATAACCAGCTCGCTTCTCCTCCCTCCCTGTGACTGCCCCTCCCTGTGCCCTTGTACCTATGCCCTCCTGTCTGTCCAGCTTTCCCTCTGTGAATGCTGTCTCTCTGATGTCTCATGGCTGATTGATCTAAGGGGTGCATCTCCTTGGGGTAGGTGTTCTGCTTGTAGGTCTTTCTGCTGTTGGGCTGAGAGCCAATCCATGAAAGTGAGACCATTTTCAGGCCCTAAATATAACCTGAGGCCATAGTCTTAGGGCTTCCACCAGTCTCTATCTGACCAGTAATTCTGGTCATTTTTGTGGTTTTGAATTTGTTCCACATTTTTCCTCCCACTCTATCCAATTTTGATCCCTTTCTGAGGGGTTGGCATTGATAGCTGGGTACCATCTAGTTCTTCTGGTCTCAGGGTCATGAAGGCTGAGGTCCTCATGGTCTGTCATATCTTTGGACTAATTGTTTCCACATGACTTTGATTTTCTTCACTCTTCTTTGCTCCAGATGAGAGGAGACCGATAGTTTCATCTTAGGTGGTTTTTCAAAAATTATTACTGTAGCTATGTGACTTTAGTGTTCATAAGGATGGTAGTTTTCCAATTAGTTCATTGGTTTTGTTTTAGTTTTTTTCAACATTTTATGAAAAATTTCAAGCATTCAATGAAACTGAAACAATTTCACAATGAGTACATTACATCAACCACCTGTTGTTGTTAGGTGCTATCAAATTGGTTCCGACTCAAAGCAACCCTGTGTACAACAGAAGAAAGATTGCCTGGTCCTATGCCATTCTCACAACTGTTGCTGTGTTTTAGCCTGTTGTTGTAGCCACTCAGTCCATCTCATCGAGGGTCTTCCATTTTTTTTCACTCATCCTCTACCAAGCATGATGTTCTTCAGGGATTGGTCCTTTCTGATGACATGAGCAAAATGTGAGAGATGAAGTCTTGCCATCCGCACTTCCAAGGAACATTCAAGCTGTAATTATTCCAGGACAGATTTGTTTGTTCTTCTGGCAGTCCATGGTTCATTCAGTGTTCTGCAACAGCAGAATTCAAATGCATCAAGTTCTTCTTCAGTCTTCCTTAGTCGTTGTCCAGCTTTGACATGCACATGAGGTAATTGAAAGGACCATGGCCTGGGTCAGGTGCGCTTTAGTCTTCAAAGTGACATCTTTGTTCTTTAACAATTTAAAGAAGTGTTTTGCAACAGATTTGCCCAGTGCAGTACATCATGGTATACAACATGAGTGTACTTCCTCATGTACTGAGTTCAGTATTTGTTAATATTTAATTTACATATGATGAAATGCACAGATTTAAGTATTCATTTCTGAAGTTTTGATAAATGCATTAAAAAAAAAAAAGAAAAAACCCTAAACTCATTGCCATCAAGTTGATTCTGACTCATGGCAACCCTGTAGGGTAGACCAGAACTGCCTGAGAGGGCACAGTTATGGCAGACAGCCACATCTTTCCAATGGACCAGCTGGTGGCTTTGAACTACTGGGCTTCTGGTTCATAGTCGAACACTTTAACTACTGTGCCACTGGGGCTCCTGATAAATGCATAAACTCAAAAGAAACAAACACTACCATTGAGTCAATTCTGACTCATAGCAACCCCCAAGGGGTTTCCAAGGCTGTAACACATTTTTATGTAAGCAGACCACCTCATCTTTCTTACATGGAGCAGCTGGTGCATACACCTGTATAACCTGCACACCTGTCGTTGTCATCACCCAGAAAGGTCCATGATGTCCCTTCTCAGTCAGTCCCCACTCCAAGTAAGCACTTCTCTGATGGTTGCCACCATACATTAGTTTTGCTTGCTCTCAGATTTCACAGAAAGAGAAGTGTGGTCTTTGATATGAGGCGTTCTTCACTCAGTGTAATGCTTTCGAGACCATCTCTATTGTTGTATTTGTCAGTAGTTTGTTCCTTTTTGTTGTTGATTAATAGTCCCTTGTACAATATACCACCATTCATTTTTTAAATCTGTTTCTTTTGCTTGTAAGATTTAGGTTTTTTTTTTTTTTTGTCTATTTGCTTAGCCAGATGCCATTTTGAGGAGTGTCTTGAGTCTCCCATGTGACTAATTATTTTGCTTCAGGTTGTATTATACATGCAGCATTGCTTTTAATTTCTTGGTTATTAACATGAAAAGCTAGCAATGCATGTCAACCAAAAATGTATTTTGTAGTCTCCATGGAAATCCCAGAGTTCTTTAGTTTACTTTTAATAATTAAAAAGAGATAAAAGTTGTAGCCGGTTTATCCATTAGGGATTTAGGCCAAATGTCTTGCTAGGTCTTTTTTCCTTTAAGTGCCTCAGTACTTAAATTGAATTTTACATTCCACAGAAGAGAGCATTGGGAGTTGAAACCACAACGGAAACAGTTATGAAACAGTGACACAAAAGCCATCTGTCCTTTTTACCATGTGATTAAAGTTAGTGTTTGCTGGGTCAATGCCAGTTCTAACCAGTCTTGATGGTTGACTTTAGGAATTAGGACTCCAAATATTAACGGTGTGAGAGTAAAATTAAAGGTAGAAAATGTATGTATATTGTGAAGTATACATGTAGGTATATTGTTCCAAAACAATCAAACACTATAGCCTGTAAGTTAAAAGGAGCCTTGGTGGCACGATAGTTAAGCACTTGGCTGATAACGAAAAGGTCAGTGGTTTGAACCCACCCAGCAGCTTTGCAGGAGAAGAGACATGGTGATCTGTTCCCATAAAGATTACAGCCTACTAAACTTGCACCCAAATCACGTTGTTGTTGTTATGTGCCGTGGAGTCAGACCCAACTCATAGTGACCCCTCCTTGGGTTTCCAAGGTGGTATCACTACGGAAGTAGATTGCCCAACCTTCCTTCCAAGGAGTGGCTGGTGGGTTTGAACCACCACCCTTCT